GGGGATAGGGGTCGGCTAAACGATGCCCATGTCTGTCCCTCTGCCAGTTTTTTGTCTTTCCCTCCTGCTGCCCCTCCCCGACGCCAGGGAGTGCGATGATGCAGGGCCAGCGTGAACGCAGGGCGGGGCCCGGGGGGGGGGGGCTGGCGAGACGAGGTGGCGCTTCGTCACGGCGGGCGACGACGACGACGAGGAGGAGGAGGAGGAGGAGAAGGAGGAGGAGGAGGAGGCGGAGGAGGAGGAGGAGGAGGAGGAGGGGTAGGAGGAGGAGGGGGAGGAGACAAGCTAGGTGCGCTCGCGTCATATCTGACATCCTACCCCTCCCTCCCATCCCTTACCATGGCGTAGATCTCCTCTCTACTCGCACAGTCGGGTGTCGAGCAGGGCAATGATCCCGAAAGGGTACGCGATGCATTGTAGAGCACGGCATGGCATGGCGTAGAAGAGCACCGCAAAGCGTAGTATCAACCTAGCATTGCATTGCATGCCGTGGCATGGCACGGGAAATGACGCCAGCGCTGCAGCGGGAGCACGAGTCGGAACGAGCGGAAGCGCGGAAATGAGGCCAGCGCTACAGCGGGAGCACGATTCGGAACGAGCAGAAGCCCGGAAACGAGGCCAGCGCTGTAGCGGGAACACGATTCGGAACGAGCGGGGCCCGAAAATGAGGCCGGCGCCTCAGCGAGAGCAGCATTTAGGAAAAAATGTAGGCGAAAACCCAACTCCGGGGAATCCTGTGTGTAAAAAGCAATACGCGGGGGGGGGGGGGGGGGCTAACCCTTCAAGCCGTCATCAGGGGAAGAGGGAGAGTAGTATTCGTCTTGAGTAATTGGAGAAGGAGGAGGACGAGGAGGAGGAGGAGGAGGAGGAGGAGGAGGAGGAGGAGGAGAACGTTCGTTCGGCTACGCGAAAGGGTGACTCTTCACTGGAGTGACCTCTGCGGGTCCACGGCGTCTCCGAAGTATCGGCTTCTGCGTGCAGATTTGCCTGCCCCCCCCCTGCCGCCCCACGGGGCGCCCACGGGCGGTCACGAGGCGCGAAGCCTTGGCTGACCCACCCAACACGAGGCTCCCACGAGGCGCTCACGGGCGCCCACCAACTGGGCACCCACCCTGCGACACATCGGTTGACACACCCGAGAGGAGGAGGAGGAGGAGGAGGAGGAGGAGGAGGAGGAGGAGGAGGAGGAGGAGGAGGAGGAGGAGGCGGAGGCGGAGGCGGAGGCGGAGGAGGAGGAGGCGGAGGCGGAGGCGGAGGCGGAGGCGGAGGAGGAGGAGGCGGAGGCGGAGGCGGAGGCAGGCAAACACAGCTTCGGGAACGTGCAGAGGGCGAGAGGGAGAGACAGCGAGAGAAAGGGAGAAAAGGGAGAGAGGGAGAAGAAGAAGCAGAGGCACGACGTACGATTACGTGCTTCAGATGTCTCAGAGATGGCAGCTGGACGGCATTGTGTGCCAGACTTTGTATAGATGGCGAGGTTTCTGTGTGACTGTCCAGATCAGTTTGGGCAGCCTCCCAGAAGAAACGCTGAGGCACCATAATAGCACATGGGCGAGTTGCTTTTGTAAGGGGTTCGTATGGCTACGTTTCCATGGTTCTCGTGCTGTGTCTTGATGTAAGAGGATACCGCTGCTTCCTTGTACAATGTATGATTGGTGCTTCCCATTAACATGATTCAATGCTGTATCGTGACGGGTTTGTGCATAATGGCTTCTTGGCTTTCTCCACGAAGAATGAAGCCATTGTGGACCCCAAACAGTGAATACTGCATCGTGGAGGTGATCGCTATGCGGTGTGAGCTAGGGAATAGAAGTTATCGGTGTAAGCTATGTTGTGCAGCATCTGTCTTGTAAGATCTATGGTTGTGAGCTGGAGGGAAACGCTATGCCGTCTAACCTATATGATGTACGCTATTCGGTGTTAGTTTTGCGGTGTCAGCTATGTGGGGTACGTTAAGTCGTATGAGCTATGTGGCGCAGGCTATTTTGTGTAAGTTCAGCGCCCGTCTTGGAGCGTCGGAAGCCCGACAAGGCGAAAACGCTAAAACCTTCCAAACACCGTTACAGTAAGAAATGAGGTCGGTCTCTCGGGGCCATCTTGAGGGCCTCTTGGAACCCTCTCAGGGGCCTCTTGTGGCCTGTCGGGGGCCTCCCGGGCCGTCTGGAGGGCATCGAGGGCAGTCTTGGCGCCTTCCGAGGCCGTCTCGGGGCGCTCTTGAACGCTCGTGGGCGTCTCTCAGGACACCGCTGGGCTGCTTCAAGCCGTTTCGAGTGGAGTAAGCGTTCACGGCGCCCACGGGAGTAACCCCAGGAACGCCCAAGAATTGAAGGACATTTTGGGCCTAGGCTTTTAAGAACCTTACGGTTGTTACCTCATCGTTCAGAAATTGTATGATCTTCGGGGCACTCCACTGCGTGTTGAAGGCGTGGTGGATGCGTACACATACATCTTACAGGCGTACGAGCATACACACATGCACGCATAAACAGCGCCCCTCGGTTACGAAAAACACATGCGGGCATAAACACACACGTACCTACATATACACATACACGCATTCGCACACACATGCACATACATACATACATACATACATGCATCCATACATACACACATACATACACGCACATATACATACACGCATGCATACATGCATACATGCGTACATATATACATACATACATACATACATACATACATACATACCTACATACATACATACATCCATACATACATACATACATACATACACACACATGCATACATACATACCTCCATACATACACCCATACATACATACATACATACATACAAACAACACACCAGTATACATGCATACATTCATCATCCATACACACAGACACGCATGCATGCATACATACATGCATACCTGCACACATAAATACATGCACACCTACACATACGTAACCATATACACATACACATGCATATACATATCTGGATACATATCTATAGTTATCTGTGTCTGTACATACATGTAGACATATGCTCGTATACACCACCTCGGATACATTTACATGCACGCATACGTGTGCATCTACATCTACCTATACCTGTGCATCTACATATACATATTCATACATGTTTGCATACATACGCACACGCATACACACGCACACATAACAGACATGCACACATACATACGCATACATACATACCTACATACATACATGCATACATACATACATGCATGCATGCAAACATGCATACATGCATACACACATGCATACATACATACATGAACATACATACACACACATTCACATACACGTATAAACATACATATACACATTCGTGCTCGTATACATACGTACATACATACAGACAAGCACACGTACATCCATACATGCATACGTACACGCATGTATAACCACATATGCATACATATATGCACATATATATATATATATATACATCTACACCTATGCACACACGTACGTTATGTGTTGTTCACTGCGTCTCTCGCTTGAATGGCGTTCCCATGTTGCGTTGTTCAAGGGTGGCGCGTCCCGTGGTGAAAGGAACTGCCTGTGGGGACTCCTGACTCCTGCCTGTGGGGACTCCTGTGGGGACGGGATGGTGTATGGTAACATGCTTGACGCCTTCCGGGTGTTTCCTTGTCCTCCTCCCCCTTCTCCTGGGATTCCTGCTTCGCCCCCCCTGCACTCCGTAGCCGTTTGGGCTCAAGCTTCGCCTCCTCCAGTTTTGGCCCCGCTCCAGGCGCGGCGGTGGGTGCCCCGAGGCCGCGCGGTCTGGTGCCCCGCCCCCCCCCCACAGGGGGGGGGCGCGGGCCATCGTCCGAGGGGCTCGAGGTATGCACCTCGTCGCCTGGCCTCGGCGGCGAGCGAGGGAGAGAAGCGAGCAGCGGCGGGCCTTCTCAGATGCCCCGGAAGTCCCCTGGCCTTCTGAGTAGTTGTTTGAGGCTTTCCCGAAGACACCGAAAACTTCTCGGAAGGCCGGAGGTTTTCTGAGAAGTCCCGCCGCCTTCTGAGCAGGCCCTCTTCTTCTCATTTTCCCCCCCTCGCTCGCCGCCGATGGTCGGCCCCAGCACCCCTCAGGCTGTGCAGCCGGGGCGCCCATGCAGCGAGCGACTGGACGACTTGGTGCATACTCCGAGCCCCTCCTCGCATACCTCTGCTCATGCGGGGGAAAAGGGGTATCGACACCTCTGCCGGTTCCTCGTGCTCGCCGTCCTGGGCCTCGTGGGAGGCTTCCGTCACCACGGCCAGATTCGCCCTGGAAAATGCTGGTCAGAACGCGCCCCGGAAGAGCTCCGGGGTGTCGCAGTATCGGTAGCTTCCCAGACATCCAGTTGCTTTTTTTTTTTCGATGCGTGGGCCCCAGAGGTCCGGACCACTTCCCCTGGGCAAGTTTTTCGTCCTGTATGAGTCGCTCTTTGACGCTCCCGAGGCCCGGCGAGGGCCAGTGGAGGCCGAAAATTGCCAAGATCCCGCCGCTCCATTTTTTTGTTGAGCGTCGGCTCTCTAGGCTGAAGTCGGGCATGTCCCTCTACAGGATGAATCTTCAAACATCGTCAACGAAATAATACGAGGAAGATTCTTCGACTTCGTTCGACCATTTTTGATTATTTGTTTGCTTGATTATTTTGCAATTTCTCCCCAAATCCGCCTGTATAGGAGGACATGCCCGACCTCAAGCCAGGCGGTCGAGACCGGCGAGGGCCCCTGGAGGCCGAAGACTGCCCCCAAAAGAGCCCACCGATCCCACTGTTTCTGGAGCGTCGGATCTCGAGAGTCCCTGAGACCCGACGATGCAAAAAAATTGCAACACCGCAAAAAATCACGACCAGACCCCCGGACCCCATCGTTCTGCGTCATTTTCCGAGCTGGATCGACCTGTGAGGGTCCCGGGGCCCGAAATGGAGCGAACACGCCCGGCTCGAAAGAATCGAGTCGCCAGGATCTCAGGGGGGTGCGGCTGCCCCAGCCAGGGCGGGCGAGACGGCGCCCCCCCCCCGGGCGATGGAGGAGCTGGCCGCCCCGCTGCGGGCCTACGCGGCGCCGCCCCGCGGCGAGGCGAGCCGCGGCGGGGCGCCCCGGCGGGAGCGGCCGCGCTGGCGGCCGCCGCGCACGCACCTGCAGGCGGAGCTGGTGCGCCGGCGGAAGGACCGCCGTGGGCGACCGCTGTCGGGGGTCACATGTGAACCCTACCCCTACCCCCCACCGATTTCTGAGGGGAGGGTGGGGTTCACATTCGCTCGGGAGCTCCGGAGCGAAGGGAACCCCACCCTCCCCCTTTGAAACCGGTGGGGGGTAGGGGTACACCCTGCGATATGCTTAAGAAATCATGGGTTAAGAAATTCATAGTCTCAGAACTTGAATGAAAACCCAAAATGTCTATCAACATCTTGAAGTTCACACTGAAACATTAAGAATAATCGAGACTCGGGCCGAAAACTTAAGCTTTCTTAAGCATCGCCTAAGGTGTAGGGTTCACATGCGGCCCCCTATACGCTGGCGCGCCGCACCCCAGGCCGCTTCTCGGGCCAGGAGAGGGTCACGACGGAAGGGCTGTCGCCATGTATGTCCGGCCTCCGGGGCCCTTCCTGGGGAGCGGGGCCGGCGAGAGCCGACCCCCTGATGGTCCGCTGCCGAAAATTCCCGGTAGCGCTCCGCAGAGCTCGGTCGCTGCCGAAATACCGAAATGTAGCGCCCAATACAGGAGGGAAAAAAACACACAGACACAATTAATCCTCGATTCCCAGGAAAATATGGGAAAATATGGGAATTGGGGGGGAAGACAAAAACCCAGAAAATATGAGAAAATATGGGGACTATTTTTATTTGTGTGTATTTATTTGTGTGTCCTAATTTCCCTTTACCAATACCGGTATCAGACCGTTCCGAAATCCGCTATCTCAACGCCCTCAAACGAAGATCCGGTCGCTACCGAAATTCGGGGTGCGTCGAGATCGCTACCGAAAATTTCCGGTACCAGACCATCAGGGCCAAGGGAGGAGAACAAAACAAAAAAACGGTCCCGGGAGGAACGGGTCCGGGCCTCCGCGGGCGACCCAGCTCGGGGGCGGCAAGAGGGGGGTGATGACTATAGGGGGGGGTGGATATCATGGCGTGGGCCATGATATTCCCCCGAATTTCATGGCGCCTCTTCTCATCTCATGACGTCCCTGGCCCCCCCGCTGGGCCGCGCACGTGCCGCCGGTCATGATTTGCACCCCCCCCTCTTGGACGCCCCCCTCTTTGCCGCTCCCGACACAGGTGCACCGCACCGTAGACCTCGAAGAAGAAGACACGCCATAAACATAAGCTGTTGGCGCTCCGCGCGGAGATCTTGGATCCGCGCTGGGCCCCCCCCCCCGCGGCGCCTCCAGCACCGCCCCAGATCCAAGGAATCCGCGCGGAGCGCCAACCGTTTATATTGAGGTAGCTTTTTCTTCTTCTATGGACGACCCGTGTGCACCGTGCCGCATTCCCAGTAGAGATCCGACGCAAGAATTCAGAGGAGGAACGAAAAGGTACCCATAACCTCTGCCCTTCGCCCGTGTTCCCCTTTTTGGGGCCTCCCTGGAGGCCCTCGTCGTCACCGCTGGATTCGCCTCGAGCTCCTGGTCAGAACGCACCCTGGGAGAGGTCCCGGGGGTAGCGGTATCTTTCTGGTTTCCCCAAGACTGCGGCGGGGTTTTGGCAGTTTTTGGGCCTCCGGGGGCCCTCGCCGGGCCTCGCGAGAGCGCGATAGCACGGCTGGGGACGAAAAACCGGCCTCGGGGAAGTGGTCCGGACCTCCGGGGCCCACGCATCGGGGCGGCCGGATGCTTGCGTTGGCGTCCATTGCAAAGTAAGGATGGGCAACCTTCCCAAGGGTACCCTTGCATCCTTGCCTCCTCTGTCCACCCTTGGCCACTTTCGCTGGCCGCGCCCCGCTCGAAAAGCTTCGAAACGGCCTTTCAGGGCCGTTGCATCCTTAGCGTGCGTCCTGGCGATACGGGTTGACTGTGCCACGTCGGCGTCCCTCGATAAAACAGGGCTAGGATCGGGATAAATCGCTCCAGAGCGTTCCGGAGCTCTCTCAGAGCGTTCTGGAACGCTCTGGAGCGGCCGCGGCGCCCAATACATCCTCCAAACCCGCCGATTCTCAGAGATTTCGAGTTAGCCCGATCCGATTTTGTCCCGATCTTCACCTCGTTTTACCCGAGGCGTTGCCGGATCTTTCGGCCCAGGAATGGTGCTCGCTTCGCGGCATGTTTCCGTCGGCCCGCAGGGGCCGAGCAGCTACATCTGCACCGCACCGCACGGGAGCGCGAGGCCTGCAGTGGGTCCAAGCACGGCATGGTGCATATAGGCCACGCGCCCCTGCTTCTCAGAAGCACCCCTGCTTCTTAGAATTGGTGGTCTCCAAACCAGGTGGTGAGACCCCCGGTGGTGAAATAATTCTGGGTCACCACCGGGTCTGGGGACACGCGGTCGCCACGAGGTTTTGCGTTTCCTGGGCCAGCCAGCGCTCGAAAACCATTACCCAAATCGCCCAAAACTCACCACCGGGTGTTCTCACCACCAGGTTTGGGGACCACCAATAGAAGGAGTGCTTCTAAGAAGCACCCATTTTAAGAAGCAAGGGGGAGGCTTCTACGAGCCACTCCTTCTACGGAGGGGAAAGGCATCTTAGAAACACTCCTGCCTCTTATAAGGCATGGGCCTCGTCTGTAGATGTGGGGCCAGCGCCTTCTAAGAAGCAGCCTCCTTCTAGGAAGCCTTTCCCCCTCCTGCTCTCCCTCTGTGCGCGCCGCCAAGCACAAGCGCCACCCTCCAAGGGATAGTTCCTGGGTCTCACCTGGGGTGGCGGTGTATGAATCACCCTTGGGAGCCAGCGACTTTATACCCCGCCGCCCTCCCTGAAGATACATGCGAAGTTCGTCGGAGGGCGTCTGTGTTTATATCGGCGGCGGGCGCGGGGGGGAAATGAGAAGGGGCGGGACTTCCGAGGCTTCTGAGAAGTTTCCGGACTTCTGAGAGGGCTTCTGAGAAGTTCAGTCTGTATTCGAAATAGGCTAAGGAGACCTCTCAGAAGTCCCCCCGGACTTCTGAGAAGTCCCGCGGCCTTCTGAGAAGGCCTTCTCCTTCTCATTTCCCCCCTGGGCTCGTCGCCTATTACAGTTTCGTGGCGTGCGCCATCGCTGTTCTCACAGGACCCCCAGCCCAGCGAGCGGAGCGGCTCCGCCGTCGCGGCAGCGCTGACCGCCCTGCAGGCCGGCGACGGCGGCGCGAAGGTGGAAGATCGGGTCGGGCGAAAGGGAGGGTTTGGGAAAGGGGGGGTACGAAATCTGCTGCATGTAGCTGGTTTCGGCCCCACCGAGGGGCCCATTCCTCGATACATGGGCGCCTCCAGCGCCGGGAGGCGCTGGGAAAATCAGCTACGTGAGCTGATTCTCAAACCCCCCCTTTGCTATCCCCCCTTTCGCCCGACCCGAGAAGAGCTCTTGCGCCGCCACGGGGAGCGGGTCGTCCCGGAGGAGTGGCAGGAGCGCTACAAGGATGCGTGGCGAGAAGGGAACAAGTACTTTTGCATTGTCTTGTTCGCCCTTTTTTGTAGGCCTCCTGGGACGCTCTCGTCGCCATCAGTGGATTCGCCTCGAAATTCTGGTCAGAACGCAGCCCGCGAGAGGTCTGGAGAGCAGCGGTACCGGTATGTTTGTTCCCAAAGACAAGCTATCAATGAAACACTGGTAAAGGCGACGCAGACAAACGGGGTCGTCTTCATCGATATTGGCGGGTAAGCTGCCCGCGTAAGGTCGTGCGTAAGCGCCCTCGTTTCCAACGTAGAGTTTCGCTCTGGTGACCAGCGTAAGCCGCGGCGTAAGACCGCTTTGCCTTCTCGCGTAAGACTTGTTTTTGTTGGTCGCTGAAGTGGTAAGGCTGCGAGCTCAACAGGCCCCCCGAGTACTCCCATGGCGCCGTCTCGGGCGGCAGCTCCTCGAAGGCTCCGTGCCCAAGGGCAGAGATGGTGGCACCACCCGGGACTGCCCGGGGGGCCTGTTGAGGCCAGCTGGGGCTACCTGAGGGGCTGTCTGTGCGCACCCCGACGCCTTGCCCAAACCGGGGTAACGTCAGACCCGAGTTCGCAGGAATTTGGCTCGGGTTCGCCTGCGTCTTTTGACGAGCCCATTCTGGATTTTGATGGCCCACTTTTCATGGGATGTTTGCAGCGGGAGGTCGCGTCGAATTTCAGGCTGATTAGGTCTGGTAATTTTCTTGAAGGCCCCGTCAGGCCACTCCGAGTCTCCTGAACCCGAGTCTCATGTCTCCCCGACAAAGGACAAGGGCCGGGAGTACTGGGACCAGTTCTACAGGCAGAGCACGGTGAATTTCTTCAAGGACAGGCATTATCGGAGGCGCCTTCCGGCGGGTCGCAGCCGTTCCTGGCCCTCTTGCGAGGCGCTTGCGTGCGCGGTTGTGCACACGACGTGGGGCCAGATGTTTGCCAAGCTTGGGCTGTTTTCCCCAGCCACTGTCGACGGGCGCGGACAACGCAAAAGTTGACGAAATTGCTTGGGAAGGGCGTGGAGCGGTGGCCTGTACGTGGGCGCCGAGGACGACGCGCAAGGGATAACCCCGCGCCTGCCCACAAGTTTCGGAGGACGACGACGGCGACGAGGACAGGAGCACAGAGGGGGGAACGAACGACGAGGCGACAGGGGAGAGGAAAGAAGCGCATTTGAGAGCCGGCGTCTGCGATCTGAGGGCCTCAGGGGCACTCCGACGGCACCTTGGGAAGTCTCTGAGCTATCTCGGTGTGGATTTCGGGGCCGTGTTGTGGACGTATTTGGGCCTCTTGGGAGCATCTTAGGACAGCCTTCGTGACGTGATCTTGCACACTCGTGAGGTCCACTTGGGGCCCTCTTGAGGCTTTTCGGAGACCCGTAAGCTGATTGGGCCTTTCTGGGGATTATTTTGGGGCTCTTTTCTGGATTGTTTTGGGCCCTGATCTCATAAGAGGCCTTATCAAGGCTGCTTGGGATTACCCTGGGGCGATTCTGGTCTTGTTTGACTTCTCTTGGGGCTATGCTGGGCCCGCCTTGCCGTCCCTATGGGCCACATTGGATATGCTAAGATATCTGAGGCTTATCCGAGGCCGCATCGGCGATTAAGGCCAAACATACGCGTTTTGTTCTTCTATGATATTGGCCTCTGTCGGGTAGCTACAGGGCAACCTTGAAGCCATTGTGGTGTCATCGCGGAGAGAGTAGCAGCCAATAGCTGTGGGGAAGCATCGAAGGACATGTTGGGCTATGTTGGCCATGTTGGGCCACCTTCGGCCATCTTGGAGCCTTAAGGTCCAAGGAGGTGTGATGGTTCGATCACGCGAGATTCGGAATTCAGAGTGGGGAGCAGGGGTGAGTGGAACAGTAAAACGTTGTCTCGTCACCCTTGGCAATCGGGCTCAGCGGGTCAGTGTCTTTGTTATACACATTGCCTGCGCATTTGCAACATCACGTTTTGGCCTTTGTTGCGTGACGCCTCGTTGCCCAGAGGCCCAGCAGGGGGGCCGGCGAGTCTTCGGGAAGAGTTCGCGGAGCTCATGCCCGAGGAGGTGGCAGCCAACCCGAAGGCGTGGGTGCCACAGCTGTCCGCCGACGAGCCCAGCGCAGGCCCTCCCCTCACCCCAGGCGATCTCCCAGCCAGGCTTCGCGGCCGGCGGGTCATCCTCGAGGTGGGCTGCGCCGTGGGGAACGGGGTACTGCCGCTCCTGCGTGCGTGCCCCGACCTCTTCGCCTTCGCCTGCGACCTGTCGCCGGTGGCGGTCGACCTGCTTCGGAGCAAGGAGGAGTACCAGTGCGGGCGCTGCCTGGCCTTCGTCAGCGACATCACGGCTGGCGATGACCAGCCCTCCCAGGACCACGAGCCCGTAGAGTCGGTCGTCCCGGAGGGCTCCCTGGACTTTGCAACGCTGCTCTTCTCGGTTGCACGCAAGAGTGACCCTTAGCCAGAGTGACCCTTGATGCTGGCGCAAAGGGGGTCGGGTAATCTCCCTTCGGGATTGAGCTCGGCCTCGCGCCGGCGCGTCCAGCCGAGCGTCGATGCGGTGCGGCAGCAGCGGCTTGCGTGGTGTCGTTAGCCGTGAGCCCCCACGGGGGGCCCCCGAAGCCTCGCACCAAAGGTCATGACTGCCCAGGGGCGCTCGTTCGTGCGGCGGGTCTTCGTGCTCAGCGCCATCGACCCGACGCGGCACAGGGCGGCCATACGGCGCCTGCGCTCCCGCATGCGCCCTGGCGGCATGGTGCTGGTGCGGGACTACGGGCGCGGCGACCTCGCCCAGCTGCGGTTCTCCGCGGGCCACTGGCTCGGGGGCGACCTCTACGTCCGCGGAGACGGCACGCTCGCCCACTTCCAGACTCGAAGAAGAAACAGCCGCACAAACATAAACTGTCGGCGGTCCTCGCGGAGTTCTTTCTGGAGGGCCGAAATGGGTACAGTGGGCGGCTTGAATAAGGAACACTTACTTTTCAAAAGGGGCTCGGTCGTTCCTTAGGTTTGCATGCGCTATTTGCAGTTCCTTGTGCGTTATTTGTTATTAATCGTTCCTCATGCGTTATCCCTTGTGATAAAAAATGGGGCCGCGTTCCTTATTTTGGGTTCCTTAGGTCAACGCCCCGACTGTACGTAAAGAGTGGGTACGAACACGAACAGTATCCCCTGTTCATTCTGAACAGGACTCGCCGTCGGTGTCGCCGCGGACGTGGCATATGTTAGACAGGAGGCCGCGTGCCCGACAGCCGCCGCTTCTGGTTTTGGGCAGCATGTGCTGTTAAGCATTGCACCCATTTTTTCCGTACAGTCGGGGCCCTGAAGAAGGAACCCTTTTGGTTGGGGAGGGGCTCCGCGTTCCTTAAGTGTTTCACAGCTTGCCTCAGGTTTTCCTTACGTTTTCGATCGGAAATCGAAGTTTAACTCATGGAAAAAAGGGGCCTCGTTCCTTATTTTGGGTTCCTTAGGTCAAGCCTCCGACTGTAGCCATTTCGGGCGTCAAATTCTTGGATCCGCGCCAGGCCCCTCTGGCGGCGCCTCCAGCGCCGCCCTTGGCGCGCTCCGCGCGCCAGGGAGGGGGGGTCTCGGCGCAGATCCGAGAACTCCGCGCGGACCTCCAACAGTGTATGTTTAAGTAGTTCTTTCTTCCTCTGCGGACGGTGGAGGCCCTGGCCGCCGACTTCGAGGCGGAGGGCTTCGAGACGGTCCAGTGCGAGTACCGCCGGAATGAGGTGGTGAACCGCGGCACCGGAGTGCACATGCCTCGGGTAATGGTGCAGGGAAAGTTCCGCCGCGCTGCGTGACAGAACACCTCCTCCTCCTCCTCCTCCTCCTTGCCCTGACGCTGGAGGCAGCCATGCAGTGGAATGCCCTTAGCCCCATGACCTGAAGCCTAACCTGGTTGTACAGCCTGGCCAGACACCGCTGGAGTAGGCGGAGTCGGATGCTGAGGACGGGGACGAGGACGAGGACGAGGAGGAGGAGGAGGAGGAGGAGGAGGAGAACGAAGACGAGCAGGAATAGGAGGACGAGGTCGAGCAGAATGAGCAGGACGGGGAGGACGGATGAAGAGAACGGAGAGGTGACGGAGGAGGATGCCAGCGCGGAGAGGGAGAAGGTGGGCGGCGACGACGAGGAGCACGAGAGAGGAGCGGGCGAGGTAGTTGGAGGGGTGCCGGGTGGGTGGGTGGGTGGAGGAGGAGAGGGAGGAGGGCTAGGACGAGGGGGGAGGAGCAGGCATGGGGAGGCGCGCGAGGTGGGAACGGGGGGGTAGGCAGAAGATCCGCACACTCCAGGACCCTGGGTGGGGGCCCACGCCCAGGGCCGCAAATAGAACATGGCTCGCACGCCGCCAGGTGCCACTGAAGACCGCAACATGTATATGTATCGGTGCACTGGGTCCGTGAGGTTTGGCCCGAAGCTCTTCGGCCAGCCCTCTCCCTGATCTTGTGGAGGACGACCAATGGAGAGGAAGCATGTTGCCAAATAAATTCCAGATGTCTAGAACATGTGCTTAAACTGTTTTGGACCATGTAAAACACACATGTTAAACATGTTCCGTAAATTTCCCAACGTTTACACACATTTTTAATTCGATGATCGGACTGTTAGGGTGTCCATTGTCGTGGCATCCACAACCCTGATCCTCCTGCACATCCTCCTTTACTCTCCCCCTCCCCCGGCTCCTTCCCCTTTGCCTGCCTCTCCTCCACTGCCCCCCCCCTCTCCTCCCGCCGTCATCCTTGTTCTCGTCGTCGTCGTCGTCGTCGTCCTCCGCCTCCACTTTACGCATCTTGCCCCGAAGGGGTCTGTGACCATTCGCACCGGCTCTACATGTCCCACGCAGGGACGATTAATCATCTCACGCGCCTTTGCACTCCCGGCCATTGGAAGTCGGCGGATCCAGGCAGCGCTGGACTCTTGTGAGCCACGTTGCTGTGCGCCAGCGTTTCTTCAGCGCTCCCCGTTGCCGTGACAGACGTACCACGAAGTGGGCCTGTATGTCCTGCATCCCTTGGTCGCAGTATTTCCCGTGGGGCCACCGACGGCATAAACGTGCCCTTTCGCAGGTCCGCGCGGACTACCCGAAGCGCCGCTGGGCCCGACTCCCCACACCCGTCCTCGGCGCACGGAGCGCGCTGGAGGTGGCGCCACAGGCGCAGCCAGGGATCAGGACGCCCGAGGTGCCCCTGGCCCAAGGTGCCCCCATCCTTTTCGCTCCACTCTGGAGCCCCTGGGGCCCTCCGGGCAACGTGAGGCGTGCTCTGGCCTGGGCCTCCCGGATGGGGTCGGAGCAGATGGGATCGGATGATCGCGCCGCATCGCCGATGCATCGCCGATGCGGCTCGATGTGGAGCCCGATTTGCTTCACGTCGACGTCGACGGTGCATCGCCGACGTCGACGTTGCATCGCCGGTGCATCGCCGATGCATCGCCGATACAGCGCGATCCTCCGACCCCATCCACCCTGACCCCATCTAGGAGGTCTCTATCTGGAGGCCGCGGGGGCCTCCTGGAGATCCTGGGGGCACCTTGGGCCAAGGGTGGGGATGCCTCACGCGAAAGCCGTCGGGCGCTCAGAGCTCGGCGGAGATGCCCGGCAGGGCCCGCGCAGGGCGCGGCCCCTCTTCCCCCCTCGGAGCGACGCAAGGGCCCTACAGACGGCAGCGGCCAGCAGCAGTGCGCAGCAGGAGGAGGGAGGAGGAGGAGCAGAAGGAGGAAGTCAGGCCGCGGAGGGCACCTGCAGCAGCACGCCCGGCAGGAGGCGCTCGGAGGCCCCCCCCCCCGGGGGCCCTCGGGCGGCTCCACGCCTCGATCGTCGGCGCCCTTGGTGCGGTCTGGGCGGGCCGCCCGGGGCGAGGGGAGGTGCCCCGGGAGGCGGCGGAGCGCCGCGGCGGCGAGCCGGCAGGCAGAGGTGCCGAAGGCGGCCAGGGGAGGGCGGGGACCGCAGGCTGACCAGGCAGAGCGGGGTGCGCGAGATGATGAGGGCGCACGGTGATGAGGAGGGAGGAGGAGGGAGGAGGACGAGGAGGACGAGGAGGAGGAGGAGGAGGAGGAGATGGAGGAGGAGGAGGAGGAGGAGGAGGAGATGAAGGAGGAGGAGGAGGAGGAGGAGGAGGAGGAGGGGGAGAAAGAGGGAGGGAGGGAGGGAGGGATGCGTTAGGAGAAGGAGGGAGGAGGCGGAGAAGAAGGGGAGGGATGAGAGGAATGTGGAGGGGCATGAGGACCAGAGAGGTGGGAGGGATGAGCAGCGATGAGGGAGAAACGGGAGGGAATGAAGATGAGCGTGAAGTGGCCTAGCTGCCGTGCGCTGCAGCACCCATGTGTGCGTGCCAACCCGTAGAGCACACATCTATAATTTTCCGGGTGAGATGTTCCAGACCACAAGGTGTGGCGATCCTCTTCCTGTTGATATAAAGGATCTAGTACATCGCTCGTTGCGCCTGCACATGTCCCGTCTACCAATGTCCCATCTGGTCGGTTCGTGTATTTCGTCGTCCGCGGTGTCCAGGGGGCTTCTGATTAGCTTGAACCCACGCGGATACCGCATTTGCATTGCGTCGTACCTTCTAGATGCTGGGTCATGCGCCACCCCAGGCGCAGCTCGCTGAACATCAGGCAACAGGTGCTTGGCCTGAGAATGTCTGAGTGGGGCCCAGCGTCGCCACGTGACTAAGTCGCAGCGCTGGCCGCTTCTGCCTTCCTTGGATGCGCTGCGGCTCGTGACATCGCATCGTTTTGCTTGTTCCTTGAGTATGACCGCAAGGGCTTGCTGTGAATAGTGCCGTGCAGTAGCAGATGGCGCTCCCAGGCCCCTATTGAAGGCCAGCGTTGGAGGACGAGGAGCAGGAGGGGGGCCGAGGTGGATGAGCGCGATGGGAGGGGGGGGATCAAGGAGGCGGACGAGGCAGGCGGAGGAACATGATGCGGAGAAACGCGGCGGTACAGGAGGGTTGGCGGAAAGTGAGGGAACGCAATGCCGCCGACAGTACGCCACAGAGTGGGCGATACGACGCCAGTTGGGATCGATGAGTTCCTCGAATTGGTGGCGATGAAGTTGCGATCGACGGAGGGATGTGAACGGCGACGGGACTGCATGTGACTGCTGCATGTGTATATTGACACCTTTTTCGGCACTACACATCGCTATGACCCAAGGGACAATGCACGAGATGGCTGATGCACCAGCCGCACGCGCCTTTCTTTTAGTTCGTCCATCCGATTTATCCTATTCCGTGCTGCATTGAGTGTTCCGACAGGCCAGCCATTCAAGCAGAAAGCCGCATCGGTCCAGACCACCTACGCGTTATCCAGGAGATTGGGGGTTGGTTGGCTATATATACATATATACTCATATACACACATCTATATATATACACATGTATTGTAGTCGATGGTTGCAGCATTCGAGGTTCTGATGTTCATCCCATGTGCTTAGAATGCTTACAGTTCAACCTGGTGACATGATCCCAGGGATACTGGAGGTTTCGAAGGATGGGGAGTGAGACCGATGACCCCTCCCCACGAGGAGAGTGATTTGTGTTTCGGTTCGTGTCGCGGGCGCGGGCGATGCGAGTCTGCGCGAGGTCCCCCGCAGCCAGGCGCATCTCTTGTTAGATTGTTCCCTTAGCCCCGGCCACCAAGTGCACCCCCGTGGTTGTCTTGCCGTCGTCTTCCGGTAGTCCCTTGACTGTCCCGTGGTTTGTCGCGTGCCATTTGCGTTGCCCCGCGCATGCTGCATGACCGCCGCGTGCCTCCAAAGTTTTCGCTCCGTTGTCCTGTGGTTGTCCCGTGGTTGTCTTGTCATGGCCCTGCGGTTGTCCCGTTGTGGTCATTTGCCCTGGTGTTGTTGTCGTGCCTTTCGTCCTGTGTGTTGTCCCGCGGTTATATTCTGAGGCATTATCTGACTTAGAAGAGCCACAGTTAGAAGGGTTTTACGAGGTAGATCCGTCGGGTGATGACAAGTATAGGGTCTGAAGCAGTTGACAGAGGGCAGAGCGAGGAGTGGGAAGTTTGAGAAGAGAAAGAGTCAACATGTTTCGAGCCAGGAGTAGGAAGGGCTGTAAGCGTTATAGTACAATTCATATTCGGAGGGTTGAGAGGCGTTCGACGAGTTGCCTGCAATATTCAGCTTAGTTATGATATGTGTGAGGGTCGTTGGGGCACTTGGCGGACTCAAAGTGTTAGGTGGGTTGGGCAAGTGAGGCAGGTTAACGTGATCCACGCTGCGGGTGGATTCGGAGTGGCAGGAGACGTGTGATAGTACGTCGCACCCCGCAGTTGCAGATAAAAGTGAGGGGGCGGCGTGGCTGTCAGCAGTCTGCGGGGCTCTGAAGAAGCCCGCCGCAGGCGCCGACTTTTCAACACATTGCGCACGAAGCCCGCCGCCGGTGCCGAAGTTTCGTCAAAACACTGTGGGTGGGTTGCGGGTGGGTCGCAGATGGGTCGCGGGGTGGGTCGCGGGGCGGGTCGCTGGCAAGTCTGGGGCGAGGACGACGACAACAACAACGCAACAACAACCAACAGCAATCCGCACCCCCCACTTTAGCCAAGCGCCGAGAGACAGTGAATGACCGTTCGGCCCCCTCACTCTGATGTAGTGGCCTTCGGCTCACCCTGCCACCGTGCCTGTAGGAATCTCTTTGGAGGCCTTTCGGGATCCTGTTTGAGGCGGTTTCGGAGTGTGTGGTCACTCTCTGGGGCCTCTTGGGACCTCTGACGGGCCTCTGGGTATACCTCCTCCCCAATTCTCTCTCTTCCCTTTTCGCGTCCCCAGAGGCAGGGCCTGCATCAAGGACCAGCACGGCTGCGCATCTCGTGTGGCCATGCGTTGCAGGATCGTGCCATGGTCTTGTCTCGGTCTGGCCGTGCCTCTGTGAGCTGCGAGGACCCTCGAGCTCTCCGCGACCGCTCGCACCCCGGGAGGCTACAGTGCGACGCGCGGTCACCCTCGAGGCCTCCGCGAGGCTTCTCAGACGGCGTGCCCCCACGGCCGCCGTGAGGAGGAGGCACAAACAACGCTCACTAAGTCAAAACAGATGCCCAATCCCAAAAACGCGAGGGCCAAGACAAGATGCAGGCTCCTCGAGACTTCGGGGAGGGAGATTTTTGGGCAGGGTTTTACCAGGGCGACGACGACGAACGCAAAACATGCCCCGACATCTTTGGCCGATCTTCGAATCCTCGGGGAATCCGCGATTTTGGGATTGGGGATGTGTCTTTTCGTGGTCAAACGCCCCTCACCCGCAAGGCTGCCGTGAGGAAGGAGGAGGAGGCGTGCCCGCACGGCTGCCGTGAGGAAGGAGGAGGAGGAGGAGGCGGAGGAGGAGGAGGAGGAGGAGGAGGCGGAGGAGGAGGGAGGAGAGGAGAAGGGGAGGAGGAAGGTGGCGGGAGAGGTAGGAGGGAAGAGGAGGGGAGGAGGAGAAGAGGGGAGGGAGGGGAAGGAGGAGGAGGGAGGAGGTAGGGAGGAGGAGGAGGGGAGGAGAGGAGGAGGAGAAAAGGGAGGAGGAGAGGTAGGAGGTTGGAGGAGGAGGAGAGGAGGAGGAGTGAGGAGGAGGGTTTGTGGAGGAGGGAGGTGGAGAGGAGGGAGGAGGAGGAGAGAGGAAGGAGAGGAGGAGGAGGAGGAGGAGGAGGAGGAGGAGCAGGATGGAGGTGGTGGAGGTAGGGAGGAGGTGGGAGGAAGGAGGGGAAGGAGAGGCCAAGGGGGAAGGATGGAAGTGACGGTGAGGAGGAGGAGGAGGAGGGAGGAGAAGGAGGTGGAGGGAGGAGGCACAGACAGCGCCCCTCACCCCCGCAGCCCCTCGGTGTGCCCCCTCGCCCTCCTCGCCGCCGTCGAGAGGACCCTGGGCGCGCTCGGCGCCCGGCGGCCGCCACGGGCTCTGCGGCCCGACCTCCACGGGCTCGGGCCCGGGCTCGGGCTCGGGCTCCTCTTCGCCCCCCTCTGTGCCTCCTCACATCACTCCACCGACTCATTCATCCCTCCCTAATCCCCTCTCTCCACTCCTCCCTCCGCCTCCGCCTCTCCTCCTCCAGCCTCCTCCACCTCCTCCTTCCGCCCGCTAATCACCTCCTCCTCCATCTCCTCCTCCTTCCTCCTCCGACTCCTCCTCCTCCCTCCTACTAATTCATACTCCTAATCATACATGCTCCACTCCTCCTCCCCTCCGCCTCAATACTCTCCACAACCTACTCATCCTACTCCTACTCTCCTCCTACTCCAATCTTCATACTCCTCCTCCATCTCATCCTCCTCCTGACCCTCCTCCGCCTCCTACATCTCATCCCTACCTACATATCCTCCTCCTCTTCCTCCTCTCCTCCTACACCTCATCCTCCACTCCTCCTCCTCTCCTCCTCCTTCCTCCTCACCTCCTCCTCCCTCCCCTACAGCTCCTGCCTCATCCTACATCTCCACCTCCTCCTCCCCCGACTCCTCTCCTCCTCCTACCCTCCTCCTCCTCCTCCTACCTACATCTCCTCCTCCTCATCCCTCCTCCCTCCTCCCATCTCCTCCCCCTCACTGGGAGCCTCCTCCCCTCCACATGTTACTCCTCCTCCTACATATTCCTCCTCCTCCCCTCCTCTCCTCTACACATCCTCCTCCACTCCTCCCTCCTCCTCCTCCTCTACACCTCCTCCTCCTCCTACATCTCCTCCTTCCTCCTACATCCTCCACCTCCCCTCCCTCTCCTCCTCAGCCTCCTACCTCCTCCTCTCCTCCTCCTACATCTCCTCCTCCTCCATCTCCTCCTCCTCCTCATTCCTCCTCCCTACCTGATCCTCCTCCTCCTCCTACATCTCCCCTCCCACATATCCTCCTTCCTCCTTCCTCCTCCTCCTACACCTCCTCCGCCACATCATCCTCCTCCTCCTCCTCTTCCTCCACATCCTCCTACTCCTACCCATCTCCCTCTTGCTCTACATCTCCACCTCCTCCTCCTCCTCCTCCTCCTCCTCCTCCTCCTCCTCCTCCTGCTCTCCTCTCGGCGCCGCTCCGCCCCACGCCGCCCTGGCCGCCGGCAGCCGTTTTTGCACTTCCTGCCCCTCTGGCAGCGGGGGCGGACCGCAGGCCCTCCTTGCGGGCGTGGCCGTGAGACCCCCGGCGCCGCGGCGATGGCGGCCAAGAGGAAGCCAGGGGCAACGATAGGGGGGGGATGGGCCCAGGGAGGGATGTCTGGCCCAGGGGGGTGAAGTTTCTTATTCGGTGTTGGAGATTTTCGAGCCTTTGCGTCGGTACCCAGACATGCGACGTCCTGATTTTTTCAGGACGGCGCCCCCGGAAGTCCCGACCCAACCCCCGGGGCCGGTTTTTCATCCTGAGTCGTTTTTTGACGGTTCCGAGGCCCGGCGAAGGCCCCCAGAGCCCGAAAACGGTGAAAAACCTCCGTCCTGAATTTTTTACGACGCGAGCATGTCTGGGTATGCGTCGGCTCTCCAGCCTCGGGATGCCCTTCAGCGGCTGCTCCTCGCCGAGGGCATGCCGGGGGCGCCTGGACCGTCCCGATGGGCCGCCGGAGAGCCGAGCTACTGTCAGGAGGGAGAAAAACACACAGACACAATGAATCCTCGATCCCCAGGAAAATATGGGAAAATATGGGAATTGGGGGGGAAGACAAAAACCCAGAAACTATGGGAAAATATGGGGACTATTTTTATTTGTGTGTATTTATTTGTGCGTCCTAATTTCCCTTTGTACTGCCCGAAAGCCACGGGGCAACGCTAGGGGTGGACAGGCCCAAGGGGGGGATGCGTCGACCCCCCATCGCGCAGTCATCGCCGATAGGGGCCCGATAGCCCACCCCGCCTTAGTGTGCCCTGGGAACGACAGGGCCGTTTTTTTACCGGTTCCGTTTTGCCGTTATTTTGCCGGTTCCAACGCCGTTTTGTTACCGGTTCCGTCGCCGTTTTTTGATCGGTTCCGGCTCCGGTTCCAATCCTGGAGCCTTTTTGTTGCCGTTTCCGGTCGCCGTTTTTTTGCCGTTTCCATTTTCAAGGGATTTTTTTTCGGAAACGGTGAAAAAACGGCCCTGCCGTTTCCGGGGCCCACAAAGCACCCCGCCCAGGGCCTTGCGGATTTGCCATCGGGGGCCTACCACCGATCCATCGGAGGTGTATCGCCGACTCCAGCTCGATGTTCCCCCCCCCCCGAGCTGTTCCCCCGCCGATCGCTGCGCCTCAGGAAGGCGGAGGAGCCCCCAAGCGAGCCGACAGCGGGTGTGGCAGAGCCGGAGCAGAAGCGGGCATCTACCGGTGGCGGACTGGAGCCCGCGCTAGTCTTCAAGCTCGACGCCACGTGCGGGCGCGCGCGGGCCTCAACGGTGCGCCTGCCACACGGCGAGGTGCACACTCCGGTCTTCATGCCAGTGGGGACGCAGGGCACCATCAAAGGGATGTCCTCCGAGGATATGAAAGCACTTGGGTGCAAGATCTTGCTAGGGAACACGTTTCATCTGGCGAATCGGCCCACAACCGATTTGCTGGAGAGATTCGGCGGTCTTCACAAGTTCATGCAGTGGGACGGGAACATCCTCACAGACAGCGGCGGCTTCCAGATGGTCTCCCTGCTCAAGCTGGCGGAGATTACAGAAGCTGGCGTGGAGTTCGAGGATCCCAAGAAAGAGGGGAGCCGCATGTTGCTGACACCCGAGAAGTCGATCGAGTCTCAGAACCAAATTGGCGCTGACATTATCATGGCTTTGGATGACGTGGTCTCATCTACGGAGGTCAACCAGGAGCGCATCGAAGAGGCCACTCACCGCACCTTTCGCTGGATCGATCGCTGCATCAAGGCGCACAAGAACCCAGACCGGCAAAATCTGTTTGGCATAGTGCAGGGCCATTTGCAGGAAGGCCTCAGGGAGCTCTCCTTAAAGGAGATGATCAAGCGGGATCTGCCAGGCTACGCCATAGGTGGTCTGAGCGGAGGGGAGGCCAAAGATTCGTTCTGGAGGGTAGTCGAGCAGTGCACGCGGCCAGCCACCGGGCTCCCGGAGCACAAGCCCCGGTACCTGATGGGTGTTGGGTACCCCCTCGACATCGTCGTCTGCGTGGCTCTTGGCGTCGACATGTTCGACTGCGTCTATCCCTGCCGCACGGCCCGGTTCGGCACGGCGCTGGTGCGAACTGGCCAGCTGCGGCTCACCAGTAGCGATTTCGCCGCCGACTACCGGCCGCTGGAGGCCGACTGCGGTGGGCCGCTCAAGGGCTACACCCGCGCGATGCTTCACACGATCGTGACGAAGGAGCCTGTCGCCGCAACGCTGATCACTCAGCACAACCTGTGGTTCATGCTCAATCTCTTGACCGAGATGCGCACGGCGATCGTGGCTGGCAAGCTGGGCGACTGGGTGCGGAAGTTCTTGCAGGTCACGGGGCAGGGTGAACAGAAGTTGGTGGAGCAGCGAGGCCTTGGAGAACCACTCCAAGAAGGCGTTCGCCAGAGTAGTTAGTCTCGCATTCTGAGCTGGACCATTCCCCAGGGCGGTTCTCCGAGGCCCAGAACTGCGCACCACCGTTGCTCACCAGCCCACCACCGCCAGAAGAGATCCATACCCCCGATCTCGGGGCGAACGGTCCTGCACCATCCCTGGGTGCGTGCCCAGAGTGGGCTTCGCGGTGATGTTTTGTGTGGTTGAATTCTCAATTCTAAAGAAGAGTTGTTGTTGTTGATCTCCACCTCCCGGTGCCCATTGCGATTTTTCAATGAAAGTGTTCCTCCCGGGGATCACACCTTGCTTTTCACAACGGAAAATCTTGTGGCGCATATTTGGGCCCCCGGCCCCCGGTTCACAACAACAGCAATAGGAATAACAACAACAGCAACATTCATTCTAATGTTGTTCTCTCTTGCTTGCCCGTGTGTCTCGGAGGTGGATCGACCTCCTACCCTGACACGTCGATTAAGGAATTGGCCGTTTTCGGTTCGCGAGAGGGCGTCACGGCCGTCATTTTTGCGGGTCCAGGTCCGTCAGTTTCGGTCCCATGCCGTTTTCACTAAGGGGAGGTTTACCCCCTTTGGGGGGATGCTTTCTCTTTGCGGGAGGCGGCGGGCTTAGGCGGGCAAACTTGAAAGGGTGGACATCCCTTCGTGGGCGTACATGTGCCCGCCATTGGAATTAGTGTGGGCCCTGCAAAAAGAGGAGGGGGAAAACGAGGGAGAGTGGGAGAAAGGGAGGGGGAGGGACGAAGGAAGAGGGAAAACGCCAGGAGAGAAGGAGCGAAGAGGGGGGCGGTTGATTAGAGGCAGAGAGAGAAAGAGAGAGAGAGAGAGAGAGAAAAAAAGAAAGAGAGAAATTTCGATAAGAGAGGTAGAGAAAGAGAAAGAGAGAAAGGGGAAAGAGAGAAAGAACGAGGGAGGGAGGAGGCAGCAGAGGGGAGGGAAAATGGGGGAGGGAGAGGAGGGAGGGGGGATAGGGTAGAGAGGCATAAGGATGAGGGAAGAGAGGAGGGAGAGAAGAAGGGAGGAGAGGAGGGAGGAGGGAGGAGGGAGAGGGAGGAGGAGTAGGAAGGTAAGACCGTGAACGTTCGAGGAAGTCCTCGGCGAAAGCGCCGTTCCTGACGGAAATCTCGGGCGGGAGCCCACGACGGGCGGGCGATCCCTTGACGGGCGGGTCGGGCGGGTGGGACATTCAAACGGAATGCTTGTGTATGGCGAGAGCGCGATTCCTAAGTAAATTGTGACGGCGTCCTTGACGCAGCGTGTTTCCTGAGCGTCGACAGCGCGATTCCTGAATAAATGGCATGGAAGTCACAGGCGAGAGCGCAATTCCTGAATAAAATGTAAGGGGTTCTCTGGCGGGAGCGGGGGTCTTGATTAAATTGCGAGGAAGTCTTGCTTCAATTGCGAGGAAGTCTCCAGCGGGAGTGCCGTTCCTGAGTAAATTGTGAGGAAGTCTCCGATGGGAGCGGGGGTGCGGACTACATTGCGAGGAAGTCACAGGCGGAAGCACCGACCCGGAATAAGTTGTGAGGAAGTCTCAGGCGGGAGCGGGGGTCCTGAGTAAATTTGGAGGAAGTTTGAAGCGGGAGCCGTTGTTGTTGTAATCCGAGGGGCCAGGAACAAAGTTTGAGCACGAAGATTTTCCTTGTCAGAAAAACAGGGTGCGAGCGTCGAGGGGCACATTTTGATTGAGAAAAAACCGAATGCACCGGTGATGGGGCGATCAACAATAATTATTCTTCTGAAATAAGAGACCAACAACAACAACAGCAACCGCGCCACTTACAACAACAACAATAACAACAACAGCAGCAACAACAACACGAGCAACAACAACACCAACACCAACAACAACTCGAACACCAACAACAACAACAATAACAATAACAACACCACCACCAACAACAACACCACCAACAACATCAACAACATCAACAATCATTGTAATACTGTTCGCTCCTATCTGCTCGCGTGCCATTCAACACGTATATTGCAAACCCTCGGTGCCCGCCCTCTTTGTTTTCGATCGTACCCCTTGGGGCATATCTTGCTTACCTGCCACGTGCATTTAGTGCAGCCCCTAAAATTACTCCGACGGAAGAACCCCACATAAGAATCCTCTGGGCGAATCTGGAAAAAGCCATCACCGTCGTCCTCGTGGTTGGTGAGGCGTCCTGGCTGTCTCTTCTGCGTATATTTCCTCTCGCATTGGCGCGGGCCCCCCTTCCACTCCTTACGTTGTCCCCATCCTCGCCCCCCTGTTTGTTCCGCGCCCCGCCACCTCCTCCCCTTCCTGTTGCATGAGCGCGCATGTCGATGTTCCTCGGCGCCGTCGCCGCCACGGCCAGCACAGGCGCGTTCTCTACTGGTCACGTCGCGCAGCCGTTGGGACAACCCCGCGGGCCAGGCTGTCGGGACAACCCCGCGAGCCGCTGGCGCGCAAGACCAAGCCGTTGGGACAACCCCGCGGGCTTCGAGCGAGGCGCAGCCGCGCTCAGGCGGAAGGCAGCACGAAGCCCAGCTCTGCCGCGAGCTGCTTCGCCTCCGCCCTGGACAAAACCGCTCTCTTGTCGAACTCCAGGAGCGCCTTCCGCAGGGACGCCGGCGGCCCGCACTCCAGGAACTCTCGCGGCGGCGGCCGCAGGATCAGCATGTTCCGCATGCACGTGGCGCGGGAGAACATGACGTAGAGGTGCAGCCACCACTGCTCGTCCGACATGCCCGTGCGGCCAGCGTCCTCGTCTCTCGCGCAGTCGATGGTGACGCCCTTGCGCAGCGTCTGGCCCTGCGACAGCGTGGAGGTCAGGTAGGACGCGTGCGTCAGGGTGAACCCCGAGCGGCGCACGCTGTGCGCCCCCGAGCTCTGCCATGTGAACTCCCTTTCGCTGGGCCTGAACATCAGCAAGCTCCGCGCCCGCGCCTCGGCCTGGCCGTCGTCGTCGGCGCCTTCGGCGCCCTGTCGCAGCACCTCGGCGACCTCCTGGTAGATCGGAGACTCCTGAAGCCGCGCACCGCAGCCAGATGCGGACCGCGCGGATTACCAACATGATCTGCGGGCCCCAAGGGAGGGGGCTCCGCCTAAGTTCCTCGCATTCATCACAGACGAGGCTCCCTCCTGAGACTTCCTCCCTTGAGGAGCCCAAAAGTGACGACAGTTACAGGTTTCGATGACCCGCTCGGATTACCAACATGATCTGCGGGCCCCATAGGGAGGGGGCTCCCGCCTGAGACTTCCTCGCAGTTCACTCACAGACGAGGCTCCCGCCTGAGACTTCCTCCATATTCAGGCTTGAGGAGCCCAAAAGTGACGACAGTTACAGGGTTCCGATGACCCGCTCGGATTACCAACATGATCTGCGGGCCCCATAGGGAGGGGGCTCCCGCCTGAGACTTCCTCACAATTCACTCACAGACGAGGCTCCCGCCTGAGACTTCCTCCAAATTCAGGCTTGACGAGCCCAAAAGTGACGACAGTTACAGGGTTCCGATGACCCGCTCGGATTACCAACATGATCTGCGGGCCCCATAGGGAGGGAACTCCCGCCTGAGACTTCCTCCAATTCACTCACAGACGAGGCTCCCGCCTGAGACTTCCTCCATTTTCAGGCCTGGGGAGCTCAAAAGTGACGACAGTTACAGGATTCCGATGACCCGCTCGGATTACCAACATGATCTGCGGGCCCCATAGGGAGGGGGCTCCCGCCTGAGACTTCCTCACAATTTATTCAACGATGATGAGGATGAGGATGATGAGTGGTGGTGAAGATGAGTGGTGAAGAGGATGATGATTGATTGTGAGTGGTGGTGGCGATGATGATGTTTGAATGAGGATGATGCCGATGCAGATGATGATGATGATGATGCTGATGATGATGATGATGATGATGATGATGTTCGTGAGCGTGTGTGAGAATGCGAGTGATGATGATGATGAGTATGTGAGTGACTAAGCATGTGAGAGACCATCATCGATGATGCTGATGAGGTTGATGATGAGAGAGTGTCAGTGAGTGTGAGTGGGTGTGTGTGTTCCTGTTCCTGCGCGGGGTGTCCAGAGAAAACAAGAACCCCACGTTGGATGTGGGGAAAAAAGGAAAGAGAGGACGGACGGAAGGGGGAGGGAAAAGGATGGAGCACGAGAGAAATTAGCAGGAGAGGGGGCTAGGGGCGGAACCAGACTGGCAGAACGTGCGGGCAGACCTTAATTAACTGGCGGGTCAGGACGGTGGACCCAGGCGGCCAGGTCGAGCAGGCGAGTTACTGAAGCGTGAGCCTTGCATGAATCGAGAGGAACTCTCACGCGATCGCGCGATTCCCAAGTACACCGGAAGGGCGAATCCAAGCGAGAGCGTGATTCCTGACTGTCGAGGGCGCGGCGCTTGAATAAATTGCGAGGAAGTCCCCCGCGAGAGCGCGATTCCTGCATACATCGTCAGGAAGTCCAGCGCGAGGGCGCGAATTGTAAATAAATTGTGAGGAAGACTTTCCCTGATAAATCAGGGTGCGAGCCCCGAGGGGGGCACCACAAGTGGAAAAACACAATGTGCACCCGTGGGGGGGATCAACAATAATTGTTTTCCAAGAGTGAGAGTTCAACATCGGCTCGCGCCTGATATTTCTTCAATGTATTCCACATTCGCGCTCTCCGGTGGGATGTTCTCACAGTGTAATAGGGATCGCGCTTTATCGTGGGACTTCCTCGGAGTTAATTCAAACGCCGCCCCTTCGACGTTCAGGACGCACGTCACGATTTACTTGGGAATCGCGTTATCTCTGGAAACTCCCTTGCGATTCATGCAGGACTCACGCTTCAGCGACCCGCCTGCTCTCCGTGGCCACCTGGACTCGCCTTCCCGACCCGCCCGTTCGGGTCTGCCCGCCCGATCTGCCCGCCCGCCCGACTTGTGGCAGATTAGGAAGATATGCCCCACAAGGGGTACGATCGAAGACAAAGAGGGCGGGCACCGAGGGTTTGAAATATATGTTTTGAGTGGCATGCGAGCAGATAGGAGCGAACAGTCTTAAACGTAGTGGTGGTGGTGGTGTTGGTGTTGGTGTTGGTGTAGTTGTTGTTGGTGTTGGCGTTGGTGTTCTTATTGTTGAGCTCCCATCCCTGAAGAACAGTTATTGTTGATCTCCCTCCTTCGTTGCCCAGTGTGACCTTTCTATTGAAGTGCCCCTCCCCGGGCTCGTACCCGTTTTGTTGTTCAGGGGAAGTATTAGCCTCAGATTGGGTGTCTGGCCCCCTAACTACAACAGTAACGGCTCCCGCTTGATACATCGTGACAATGTATTCAAACCGCGTCTTCGCGCTGGATATCCTCACAACCTATTCAGGGATCGCGCTCTCGCGTGGGAGTTTTTCGCGATGCACTCGTGCGCCGCGCCCACGAATCCCGCTCTCGCTTAAGACTTCCTCCCGATTCATGCAGGAGTGACGCTTTAGCGACCCTCCCGCTCGACCCAGCCGCCTGGGCCAGCCCGCCCGGCCCGCCACTCAGGGTCCGCCCGTACGACACGCCAGTCTGATTCTGCCGCTGGCTTTCTGCTCCTAACTCCCATGCTCCTGATCTCTCTGGTGCTCCCTCCTTCTCCTTCGCCCTTATCCCTTCTTTCCATCTTCCCTCTCTTCCCCTGTTTTGGGGCTGCGCCAACTGCGCGTGGCAGGTAAGGAAGATTTGTCCAGAAGGCGAAGAGGGCGGGTTCTTAGAGTTTGGGATATACGTGCTGAATGGTACGCAAGCAGAGAAGAGCGAACAGTCTAAGCAATATTGTTGTTGTCGTCTTCGTCATCGCCGTCGTCGTCGTCCTTGCCTGCGATCCCCTCACGACCCACCCACGATCCATCCCGCGGCCCACCCCGCGACTCACCCGCGACCCACCCCGCGTCCGCGCCCTCTGTCTTCTCCGCAGTTGCGGGTTGCTGCATTCTGCGTTCATCCATTTCTGTACACATAACGTATGCCTGCTTCCGAGGGCAGGGCATGAACGACCCACTTCACCTTACCGTGCGGACCAGGGAATGATTCTAGCAGCTGCGGATGCAGGATACTCCCGAGGAGGAGGAGGAGGAGCAGGACGAGGACGAGGACGAGGAGGAGGACGAGGACGAGGAGGAGGAGGATCGTCCCTGGCGGTGCCAGCCGAGATTCCTCTGCCCTGCCAGGACTTCTTCCCCGGCGCTGGCCCTCCGCCGTGCAAGCACTGCCCGCCGCGCTGGGTCCGGGACGCGCTCCGAGCTGCCGGCATCCTGGTCGACGACCTGTTCGATCTCGGGGGGCTCGCGCCGTCCAGCCGACCCCATCTTGTATCGGGGGCGGACAGAACCCCCAATAGTGACACGTCGATTAGTGAATTGTCCGCTTTTGGTTCTCGAGAGAGCGCCGTGGCCGTTATTTTCCAGGCCTGCGCCCGCCAGGTTTGGGCCTCAGGTCGTTTTCACTAAACCACGTTTTGCTAAAGGGGGGTCTGTCCATCCCCGAGGGACGTGTCGGGCGGGGGCAGGACGAGGACAATCAGAGCGTGAATTACCTACCCCGCTTTCGCTTCCGGGCAAAACCGAGCCATGCCACGCGCCTCCTCGCCAAGCGGCCTGACCAGCACAGGCTGCAAGTTGGCATCGTTTGGTATCTCTTGAAAGCGAGGGTGGTCAAAAGCGAGGTAGGTCTGTTTTCCCCCTAGACAAAGCCGTTCCAGAGCGTTCCGGAGCGCTCTCAGAGCGTTCCGGACCGCTTCGAGAAGGCCGCGACGTCCTGTGCAGCTTCCAGAGCGGCCGGATCTGAGAGAGTCTCGATACCCGAATGTGTGTTCTCGTCCTGGCTTCGTCTCAACGTTGCTTGGTTCGCCCCTCGGAGCGATCGACAGGCGAGGCTTGGGGACGATGGGGGTGAGGGCTCTGTTGCACGCGGCTGGTCCGAGACACGGCACCTCCCTCGAGAATGAGAACGGCGGCCTCCTGGCGCTGGGAGGCGCCGTAAGACCAGCTGCGTGCAGCGGATTCGCCAGCCTTCCCTGTTGTTGTCCACTCACTTGTTCATCTGCCCCGAGTTTCCCTCCGCTCCCGGTGCCAGGTCAAGCGGGATTTGGGGCCCCATGGATTCTTCGAATTGCGGTCTGGTTCTCCGGGACTCTCCAGCAAGTTCACCAGGTGAAGCGTGGCGTGAAATGGAGAGCTGGACTTCGGGCAACTCGGTTGCGCTCGGTCGTTTTCTGTGTTCTTCGCCATGGCGCTGGGCCCTTCTAGGCTGCCTGCGGCCTGTCGGCTTCGATCGGGTTCAATCTCGCTGTCGGTTCGGTCGGTTCTTGGTGTTGCTGTCGCCGTGGATGGCCTTAGGCCTCGTCATGCAGCGCGACCCGTCGCTCCCCGCCAGCGGGAGGCGGCGGACTGGGGCCCGGATGCCGAGGAGCTGCCAGACATGCCGCGCGACCACGGCGGCAAGGCGACCCAGCAGGGCGAGAAGGCGTGAGTCGCCGAGCGCCGCCGCGAGCACGAGGCGGAGGCGGGCGGAAGAGGAGGAGGAGAATCACCAGAGAAGGACGTTCCGCCAAGACCAGCTCGGGGAGTGGCACCCCGTTCCGGGCGCGCCCCCCGAGAGTGCCCAGAACGGGGTGCCACCAGCTCGAGGGGTTGGGCCTTCGGGAACGGAGTTACGTTGAGTTCTGGTGGTGGCGGCCTTTTTTGCTTTCATGAGCAAGGCGGAGGAGAGTGGGAAGGGTGGGCGGGGCCAGGACAAGGAAACTGGGGAACAGACAATTGCATAATCATAGAAACTCTGAGCTCCGCGCGGACTCCTCGGATGGGCGCTGGGCCCCCCTGGCGGCGCCTCCAGCGTCGCCTCCGACGCGCTCCGCGCGCCAGGGAGCGGGGTCCAGCGCGATCCGAGAAATCCGCGCGGCAGTCCGAGTTGTTTTTGGTTTCTGTCATTGACTGAGGACAGCACAACCCACCCCCACCCCCACCCAGGGCACCCACCTCCGACCTGGTGATCCAGGGTGCCCTGGGTGGGGGTGGGGGTGTGTTTTTGGGCCCCGCGGCTCTTACAACCCACCCCCGCCCCCACCCAGGGCACCCTGGACCACCAGGTCGGAGGTGGGTGCCC